TATCGTGTAAATCTATAACGAAAAGACTTATCTATTTGTTTACCTTTGCCGCATTTAGGATTGACAAAAACTAGTAAATGTTGAGGTCGATGTTTGAGCTTTGACAAGTATTGAGTTGATATCAAACATAATTGCTGGGCTGATATGGAATCCATTTCCAGCTGTATCTGTTTCATCCTCCAGATAAACGATTCAGAAATATCGACATAGCGGAGATTAACTTGTGTAGATTCTGATAAAGATACTTTGTGAGTTTTACTGGTTTCTTGAGAAGAAGATCGTTCGAAACATTGTGATATTGATGATGAATTTGATTCATTCGGTAATTTTACCGTCTGTTCAATATTAAGCAATTTACTAAGAATAATTGTCTCTGGTATCGTATCATCATTATCATGATTGGAATTTTCTTTTTTATCAGTCAATGATTCCAAGTGAAGTCGAATCGAATTTAAAATATCGTCAGTGTTCGACGTTGATTCACAATTACCAATTGTTAATAATATATCGTCAATAGTTGAAACAGACACTTCGTTAGGATCATCATCAATACAAATACGAAGATAATATGGTTTCGTTTTAATATAACATGACGTTGAAAGTAGAGTGGATGGCATGGTAAAATAAAAAAATATCTAAGGAACAAATTATGAATAAGAATCAATGGAAAAGTGCATAGATAAGATTGGAAACACACAAGTACAATAGTTTCGATCTATTTATCCGATTTGTCATTTTGAAAAATTAGAAGATAAACTATCGAAACTAAGAATAAGGGATTCGACTGATTTGTTCTAGATGTACTGATACGTGTAAATACACGTGATACTTATTATGATACTTTGTTTAATCGAATTCATTGCAAAAATTTCTCCGTAAAAATACACTACACAAACGCGACAAATAAACGAGTTAACTTATACGAAGGCGACTATGATGTTTTGACCACAAAACGGGATATACGTAGGTTTGTAGAGGAAGACTTCCTCTATCCAATGGTGTATATATTATCAAATTC